GTAAATATCCCCCGTACACAAAAGTTAAAATGTCATCTCATGATTTTTGGCACTATTTATGCATACTGCAAAAATATGCCTGTTGCAAAAATATGCAACGTTTTTTCAGTGATGTTTTTTCAGTTTTTTCATTCTTAGTTCACACTCGTAGCGCATGTTCACTTTGATGGTTGATCATTACTCTTACACCTACGGTTATATTTTGGAAACTTTGTGAAAGTCAAATTCGACCTTGGTGGTTCGTTAAGACCAGGTTTCATTTTTTTGGGGCGATCAAAGAGGTATACAGCTAAAAATAAAGTTGTCGGGTAGCATCTGATGCCAGGCCTTTTTCTCTCATCAACATCGGTTCTCCAAGAGCATTTCAACTTCTGACTTATAATTTTTTTTCCATCCAGTCAAGCTCAGTCAGATGGGTACAGGGTGCCCAGCCTTTGAACGAGAATAACTCTCAACGCTTGATCTCATCAATACGCTGTTTTCACCATTCGAAAGAGTAGATAATTCTGCATCGAATGAAGGATTTTCACATTATTTTGCTAATGGTATCATTCGGAAATTAAATTCCTATTCTGGGGGTTATACAAAGGCATTGGCACGTGAAAAGTTGCTTGCAGCACCGCATCCAATTTGCTTGAGGATTCAGGTGGCTGATAAGCGATTGATCAATGATAAGCGAGTTGCAAATCTTCGGTTTTACTTCGAATGTGACGGAAACCGCTCGACAATTCTGGAAGAAATTAATCGGAGAAACCGTCAGCCGCAAGTTGTTTGCCCGCGTCAACACAAATTTTGACAGGACAGGAAACGTAGCAGACCTTCCCCGTTAAGGACACACTCTGGCAGTCGAACAGAAAATTAGACACAGTGCAGCAAGCATGTTTCTTGCAGCTGACGGTTTCTCCGATCAATTTCTTCCAAAATTGTCGAGCGGTTTCCGTCGCATTCGTCGAATGCTAAAAACAGCATCTCCATGAGATTAAGCGTTGAGAAGTTATTCACGTTCAAAGGGTGGGCAGGACTTTTGACTCAACCTGTATATGAATGATTTTGTGATGCATGACTCCATCTGCAGAAAAACATGTCTTCTCATGAGAAGAGTACGAACGATGTATTGCAACTGGAAGTGCCGCATTCTACGAACTTTTTTTAAACTCCCCTCGTATCTATGCTATGGGCCATGGAAGCTCAGATGAGTACTGAAAGTAGCACAGTTTTCCAGTCAATAACCAAGTAATTTAGCACCAAAGTGATTAAAAGGAGTTTGGGCATCAAGATGTTTAGCGTCTAAGGTGTGAACCAATCCTCTTGTTCAGTAGAAAAAATTCCATTCTGCTATTGGGTGAAAATTGCAATAGAGTTCAGGGAAACAAGCCATAGAAATATACCATGACATCTCTACCCTGACATTCTGTTGCCCAATTTTTCAAATAATAATTAACCTCAAATTGGGAACACCATGCTGGGTGTATCTGTGGGCTAGTGCAACACTCTTAGTACTCAAGTACTAAGTTTTTCATGACATTGGCATCATGAGACAAGATATGGATATGCAATATCCAGGATCACAATATTTATACTTATTGGCAGACAGGAACACAGAAACAATTCAATCAACTCCACTCAGAAAAAAAGCTATGTGCTTCAAACGATGTCACATTTATTGCACTTTGATTAGGGCAGGCAACCAAAATAGCATTTCCACCCTGAATGGAAGCATTATAATCATCATAATAAAATAATGTCATAATAAAAAACTTGTTTTGAATTAAATCACTCCACACAAGTGTTCCATTATCACATCCCCTCTCCATACAAGTGAGTTGATGGAGAACTTTCCACACCAATCCTCTTCGAGGTATGCATCACAGACAATTTCATTTAATGGTAACCCACTGAGCCAGGAGTCTTTTTCCTCTCGATGCACTTGATCTTGAACAACTCTAGTGTTGTCTGTCCTTTGATACGGAACAGTAATCATCCTTTGATACATGGATCTGTAATTACTTTTCCGAATTAGGAGCACACATTCAGGCAGGACAATGAAGATGAACTTCTTACCCACAGCAAATGACAATCGATGGTACTGATTGAATCTCTTAGCAAGACCAAAGACCATGCGATGGTAGTCTGCCAAGGTAGCTTTCAGAGGAATCCTTGAACACAATGTGAAATTTGAAACATGAATAGTCAGGATGCAAAGGCTTCCTGTTTCTTCACATAAGAGATATATAAGATCCCCATAGCAATCCATAGACACAGCTGATGGAGCATGATCACAGAACTGCTGAATATTACCAAGGATAGTGTTAGCAGATGATGATATTCTGCCTTCCCAAATTAGGGTCACAAAATGGGTTTTGTCTGACATCAATGTTGCAGCAGTTTTATAGTTACCCACATTACCCAAAGAATGGAAGACAATTCTGCGGCTGATGCCTGGATGGACATCGAACATCACTTCCTTTCGATATAACTGAGCCCCAGTGGGAAGATCCCAAATACAAAATTCACTGCCATGGTCACCACAAAACACTGCAGCAAGGACTTGGTGTCCTAAATCCAGTTCCAAGCGACTTGGATAAGGGCCACCAGGATGATAAACAATACAGAGTTCCCCATTCAAATCCCACTGACCTATAAAGCCAGTTGAAGTAAGGACAATGACTCCTTCAGGGATTGAGAATGCCTGTTCAACATATCCATGACGATGAGGCAAAGAGAATACTGTTACTGGGTTACCAATTCCATCAGTCTGCTCAGAACAGACCATAACTGTTGCTGGGGGACTTGTGTTCGAGCGAAGGATGACTCTCCCACATGAATATCCAATAGGAGAAAAATCAAAGTCGAGAGAAAAATCCTTCTTTGATGAACAGAAAAGACTTTCTTCCTTCAATAACTTAAATACCCTTGACCAATTGCCATCAGGGAGGCTATCACAAAAACCAAAGTCTTCACGGATGCGTCTCTTGAAGTATTGAGTCATGAGGGAAAGTTTCTCTTCCCATTTCACAGAAACTTGAAGACACATGTACAAAGACTCAATATCCAGGAAGGATAGTATTCTTTCAACAACTTCTAATGGAAGAAGAACAATCATATCACGTGAAAAACAGCAATCCAGGTGAGTTTTAATTTGAAGCTGCAAGTCAATTGAGCAGCTCTCTAGGAGCTGCAGCAAAGTGTCTAGTTTTTCAGCATCACTCATTCCTGAGAAGCTGGGAATCACAGCTTCAGCACTTTGCCCAAGCATTTCAAATGACTGCAAAACCTACACAAGAGGAAAAAAAAAAGAAGCATGATAAGCCTGGAGAGAAAGACAAGACTTGTCATTGCAAGACAAAACCATTTATTTTTGTCATGGCTTTAAATAAAATTCAAGTCAGTATGCATCCTTTTTTTCTTTGTTTCCCCTGGTAAATCTCACCAGTATTATTGAACCACTTCCTCAATTTGAAGTGTATGCTTCATCTCAAGCAATAAAAAAGTAGATGATACAAAGACACATAGGATGCAAGCATGTATGCAGACACACAGGTCATCTAGGACAAGCACATTTTTTTATGGGCTCAACAACTTCCATGAAGTTTATCCTATCATATTCAGCAATCTGGTTTTTCAATAATCTAGCATTCATGTTACTGTCTTGTCTTCCCTCAAATTTCATTTCTTCCATGTGCTGTACTATTGATCTTTACTCTCATCACTTTCCTCCAGTTATCTTTAATGATGTGAAGGAGGGTAACCTGAAACTCCTCAAGAGCTGATTTTGGAGAGGTGAAAAATGGTTAGACATTGAATGCAAAGTTCCTCAGACAATAGTCACAGGATGGCTTTGAGGCAAATCAGCTTCAATTGATACTTGTTTCCAGTGCCACTGGCTATGTGGAGCACATTGCTGTGAATCTTGATGCAATTGACAAAGACCCATTACTTAGAAGACAATAATCACATTCTTTCTGCCAAGGGCTTTTCTCATCATCATCAGAGACCAATAAAAGCCAAAATTGTTGGCATTATTTGTGTTTCTGCTTGACTGTAGCAAGAATGCAATACACACTGGCTAAAGATCAGTTACACTAGGAAGAGAACAAAAAAAATGACCCTACATGGTTCTTTTATGTACAGATTTATGTGTCCTCTATAACCATCAAAAAGAAGAGAATGAGATAAATGTCATCTCTTTACTCCACAAGAAATCCCAAAAAGGCTTTCCTGACCTAAGAGTAATGAAAATCATTCATTCTGAGTGTGGATCAGGTTTAGCCAGCACCTTATATCTTGCATGTGCTTTTGCACAGGATGCTACTGCAGGGGGAATGTAATAAGCACAAGAATGATTCCATATTCAGAGATTCATAGACTGTGATCTATCCTTTTGACAGGGAGATAACCATGTGAGCATTTGACCATTGTGTGATTTTGTTCCTTCGCCCCAGAAGGAAGGTAGCTATTTTATCCACATGGAAGAATCTATGAAGAGCCTCCTGAGCCATCATCCTGAGTCACCTGTGCCAAGTCTGAAGCAATTCTTGGATGAAGTTTGTCTGTTCAGAAACAGATTCAAAGGGTTTCTCCCCAAGCATTTCATTCCATACTTAGTCATCTGACACTCACAATCTTGGATCAAGTCTGTTGTCTAGCAAAAGCAACTCTCTATTATGTGAATGACATACCCTGTGATTCTAGTCGTTTTTGCCCTATCAGGAGCTGATGCAACTAGTAATAACATTCACTTTCTTTTCGCACGAATTTGGCCCCACGACACAACAATATTGAGCGATAGGATCCACAAGAGCTTCCTGAAGTTCCTACTAACACCTTCCCGCAGCGACTACCATCCTGGGGAAGCGCGTGGATCGACGACCAGACTCCCTCTCAAGGTCGTGCACATGCCCAACCGAGCATCAGCTACGTGCGCGCGACGCACATCACAGCATGATCTATGACCCTGGGGGAACCTGCGACTGACTGCTAAGCATGCGACACGCATGGGGATGCACGTGGGTACATGTGTGCCGCCATAGCACTCAGAGAAAGGGTTCTGTGGGAGAGAGCTGCTGGGAGCACAGTGGTCAAGGCAACGTTTTTGTAGGCTAGGTTTAGGCCGAGATCTGCCTGTTCATTCTGGGCGTAGCACTAGGCCTATACCTTGGTATACGTACCAGAAGCTTGCGTATACATTTCATTTTCTTCGTTCATTCTCAATGCCAATGCCCGTATTGTAGTAGTGCTCCAACTTAGTCTCTCTATTCTGTCAAAAGGTATATGTCCTATGGCAGTTTTCAGTTCAGTTGAGCCCTTGTATATATATGTTCCCTAGGACAAACCAATTAATCGACACTTTTTTTTCCTTCTTTCTATTTCATTATATTTATCTAGGACTTCATCCCAATGAGTGATGAAAGCAATATCAAACCCATCATGCATCATCTTTACAAGGAAAGACCCCCTGACTACTGGCCCATAATTTATTGCGATGACTACAATCTGAGTTTCTGTGGGCTGGAAAAACTTCATTTTTTCGATGCTCATAGGTCAAGACACGTTTTGCAGGTGAGTACTATTATTCATATCCTTGAAAGTGTTCATGGATACTTGGTAGATGGTATGCCATGAAGTTCAGATGTCCATTGACTTTGAAAGTATTTGATTTATTGATCATGCACAAAGAATATAGACTAAATTCACAAGGGAACATTTTCTGCTAAAAAAGACTTTGCCTTCCTAAACCATGTTCACCTTTCTTTAAATTGTTCACCCTTTAACACTTTTGGTCTCACAGGTTTTTGAGGTCAACTGAAAAATTCAGAACTTCAGAATGCAAAATGGAAAGACTTACTCTTTATGAAAAATTGAAGTAAATAAGTGTGTATAAAAAGGGTGTATACAAATATATGAATCTATTTATTGTGTTTAATTATTTCAATATTTTTGAAATGTCAAGGGATGTCCACTGTCATCCATTGCTAGTTAGAACTGGACATGCATTTACAGCTGTTGGATCAAAGGTATTAAACTTATTTATAAAATACATATTTTTGCATTGCATTGCCTTTCTTGACTTTTTTAAATCTTAAAAATCTATTTACTGCTTTTTTTAAATGCTAATTACCAATAACTTTCTTGCAGTACCTTGAAAGTGTAAAATATGTAAGATCTGCAAATCTGGTGTCCTATACCTTAATCATACAGACATCATCATACCAATCTCTCTTAGCATTCACACTTCATATAACATCATATATCTGGTGCAATCATGGTATGATGGAAAAATTGGTCTAAGTTTCATAGCATCCATATATATTTCCATGACTGTTCAAAAATACATGGAGTCATATAGTGAGCAAGCAACATATATCATATTGATACCTCACCCCAAGAAGGGCATTTGAGAACTTGTTCAAATGTTTTATAAGAGAAAGAAAAAACTTCCTGAAAAATAAGATTTTGAAGTCCAATCAGCTTGAATGCCCTTTTATAATCCCATAATTCCTAATCGGCATAAGATAGACAAATGTCCTGTTGGCAGGAAATACAGCTTGATAAGCTGAACTCAGTGATGCCAAAAACTCAAAATTTCTAAAAAATTGCTCATGTGCCCTTTTAGTGGTCAGGTACTGATATGTAGTATATGTATTCCTATGTATTCTTATATGCATGTGTTCATGCAGTGCCATAAAATATCATTTGGATTTCCTGGAAAGTCTAAAAAAATTGAGGAAGGCCATTGCAAGCAAAAACTACAAGTATATGAATGAGTTATATCCCACATGGAGCTCATCTCACTATGCAATTATTTAGTGTAAGAACCCTTTTAACTTATTTGGGAACCTACTGCAGGCGAAGATCAGCATGAATACAGTAAATTTCAGAAAAACCATAGTTTTTCTGATAATTAATTTGATAGAATACTTGCATTCAGCATAAATTCATGCATATTAAAGAGAAACACCATTGTCCTTTGGGTCTCATTGATCCCATGGAAGAAGGAGATTAGTGCAAAAGTTTTAGCAAAGGAAAAGATAATGCACATTGCAGCATTAAACCCACTTCCATGAAACAAATAGGACCTACATTAATGCATATATGCCACCACACATGACCATATAGAATTTCATATAACTGGTCTATATCTGCAGAATGTGTGGAGCTTAGTATGGGATATGCTAAACATATGGCAATGTACTTGCTCCGATGATATGAAAATTATTTGGTCATTTATCACCAGGTACTACCAATGATTTATTTGTACCAATATTTCATAAACCTTCTTTGATGCTTTTGTAAGTTGACCTTTCTCGATGTCCATACATCTTCTTTACTACAGAACTTGAGGCGCAAGGGGATTCTTTCAGAGGACAAACTCATGTGCCCAGGGGAACCATCTGAAGAAGATCTCCTTCTGGTCCATACACAAGAGTATTTACAGAGTCTAAGGGTAAGTTTAAAGCATTTCATATATTCTCTCCTCTCAGAAAATGTACCATGATAAGAGATTTTTTTTTTTTTTTTACTATGAAGCTGGATTTCATGCTTTATTTAATTTATGAAACCAACTGTGAAAAAAGCAAAGAAAAATAGTTATGTTCATCATCAGAAGATTCCAGTACTAAGAGAAAAAAAAGAGAGCAGACACTGAGAGCTATTATGAAGAGGCTTGTAAGACAAAATAATTTGACAGAAGACATGGTGCAGGTGAAGTGAATCTAGCAATGGAGATATGTAACATTTATCAGGAAGAGAGGTAAAATTTGAAAAATGAATACATCAAGGCATCTGGAACAAAGTTGGTTATGCCTTATCCAAAAGCAAGTCTTCTCTCACCAAAGTGTTTGGAGGACCCAAATATTTCAGAAATCTTGTCTCTGGAATGAAACCTCTTGATTCTCTCATGTACCTATGCTGATTAAAGGATAGCATGAACAAGTAGATGTGTTGAGCTACTGCTGCAGCTACTGCAAATGGTCTCATATCATAAAGCATAGTTTTTTGTCACCACAAAGTTTCTGTCATGTATATGTAATTTTTTTGTGCACTTTCTAGAAATATAATGATGAGATTAATAATGTATGATGCAAATGAGATAAGTTTTCTTGAGGTTCCCAACCTGCTGTTATTTGTGATGCTAGGACATTTTGACCATTGATCTTACAGATGAGGAATATTTGTTGAGACCCAATAACCCATTATATTCATAAAAAAGAGATTCAATATAACTGATTCCAATAAACTGGTGATGGTGTCTAATTATCTGAGATAAGTTAATGCAGAAATAATGGTATCTTTTTTTCAACATTGACATAAATGGAAAATATCTATCCCAGGTTGATGACCCCATTGGGTAGCACACTGTCCAAGCAACACGTGATGTCCATACGATGTTGTTGCAACGTGACTTGAGCTAATTGACGTTGCGGTAACGTCGCATAGACGTAATTTAGACGCATGTGTTACTTATGAGGCTAAAACACCGAATCTTTTGATATTTTCCCAAGACCCACAAAACAATGAATTTGAGGCCTGAGATGCAGCAAAATTTTTGCCTACATAGCCTTGAGGTATGTGGGTCAATGAAAGCGCTACCCCCCCGCACTCATGGGTAATGATAAGAAATACTGAGGTTTTTTACTTTGGCTCAAGAGAAATTCCCATGCCATGTTTCTACTATCTGATTGGAAAGAAAGTTCTCGGAATTTCATGAACAATTATTACAACCCAGTTTATTTAAAAGCAAAATCATCTCAATCATGAATGTAATCACCATTGGCCTCTATCACTTCACGCCAACGTTTATGCAAACTATGGATGCCATTCCAATAGAACTCTGGCGGCTGCGCTACGAAAAAGTTGGCCAAATCGGTTTTCAGGTCGTCT